CACACACACACATACACACATACACACACACACATGCACACACACATACACACATACACAGACACATACACACATACACACACACACATACACACACATGCACACACACACATGCACACACGCTCACACGCACACACACACGGGATCCGCCAGACGGCTGAATAACGCAGATGTCCAAGCGGTAGCGGTCCAGCTTCCAACTTGAGTGGCAGCCTCTCCGCCGCATACAAACCCAACCACTCACCCACACACTACAACAACAACCGCCATTCGCCACTAAGTGGCGGTGACGTCACCACGACGCTTGTGCCAGGCTATGTGCACCCTGAGGCCACGTGAAGTGTCGAACGCCCGCTGGCAGGAGGTCACGGGGCAGACCCAGGTGCCACGGGTCGACTGACTGAGATGACTGGCTGATGCACCACCTGTGCCCCCTACTGTGCCAACCTGCTGTGCTTTAGCCACCCGGCGCTCCGCTCGCTGTTGTGAGCGTCGCTCCTCCGCCCTCCGTTGTTGTTGGAGGGCGACTGCCTCCAACTGCCCAGTAGCATCCTTCACGAGCCTCCTCCACAGAGGCCGATCTTGACACCGCTGGTACCAGTCATCGGCAAGTCCACTCAGCTCCACGTCCTCCTGTACCACATCACTCCATTTCTTCTCTAGCCCGTGCCGCGACCGCTTAGCCCCCTCAATCCGGCCAAACAAAAGCTGTTTCGGCATGCGGTGGCTGGGCATGCGGGCTACATGACCCAGCCATCGCAGCCTTGCCTGCCGGAGGAGCTCACCGATGGGACCCTGCCCAGATCTTTCAAGGATTTGTGAGCTCCTCACACAATCCAGTCTGGTTAAACCCAGGATGGATCGTAGGCAGGCCAGCCTAAATGTTTCTAACCGGCGAAGATGTTCCATTAGGGGGGTCCACGTTTCGCAAGCGTAGAGAAGGGAGGGAATGACCGTGGCCGAGAAGACCTGAAGCTTAGTGCGGAGCGACAGACCAGGTAGCTTCCACACAGCGTTACGCAACCGATGAAAAGATATTGCCGCTCGACTGATTCGGAGTGAGACCTCTGCTGTTAAACTGGAGCCAGTCATAAGCACACTGCCCAGGTATGGGAAACTCTCCACTCTCTCCACAACTGCCCCATCACCGATTGGGAGTTGTGGGGGTGTAGTGTCCGATGGTACAAAATACCCAGGCAGGTGCTTAGTTTTGGTGGGGCTGATGGTAAGGCCCCACCTCTTAGTGGCATGCTCCAGTCTCAGCAGCAGCATCTCCAACTCCTCCTCTGACTGAGCAGCTATTACCAAGTCATCAGCATACATAACGTGGTTGAGCAATAGGGAGCCATCCCTTGACCGCACCCGGGCATCGATTAGCCTCCCATTATATCTGTACCATATGGAGATTCCCCCGGTACAGCTATTGAAGGCTTCACGAACTACGTGGTCAAAATAGATGTTAAATAATGTGGGAGCCAGAGGACATCCCTGTCGCACCCCAAGGTGTACAGGGAATGGCTCTGACTCCCGGCCACGTAGTTTTACCCGGGCCCGCTCACCATCATGAAGGTCCTTAATGATCGTGAGCAGAAGGTCAGGTACTCCAAAAGCACGAAGAACGACCCAGAGCCCAGGCCTACTGATGGTATCATAGGCCTTGACCAGGTCAATAAAGCAGAGATGTAGGTCTTGTTGGAATTCCCTACACCTCTGCTGTAGCAGACGGACAGAAAATATGGCATCTGTGCAGGACCGCCCTTTCCTGAAACCGCATTGGGGCTCCGCAAGCCTCTCCTCAGCGTGCCTGGCAAGGCGATGCTGAATAATCCTTGCCAGGACCTTTCCCGGCACACTGAGGAGTGAGATGCCCCTGTAGTTGTTACAGTCTGTGCGGTCCCCCTTCTTAAAAAGGGGGACCACCAGGGCATCCTTCCAATCCTGCGGAACCCGTCCAGTGGTCCAGACTGTTGTTATGATGTCATATAGGGCAGTCTGTGCACAAACGCCACCCTCCCTCAGCATTTCGCTTGGGAGATCATCTCTGCCCGCTGCCTTTCCTGGTCTCAGACTCCGGATCGCCTTCAATACTTCCTCAGCAGATGGCACCTCAGCCAGCCACTCACAGGGGGTGACTTCATCCAATATTTGAGGCACCGCAGCCTCAGCAGGGTCATCCTCACTTTGTGTCACGATGTTTTCCTGGCTGAGGGATTTTCCCTCCCCCAGGACCTCACAGAAATGCTCAGCAAATCTGCGAACCTGTTCCTGGGGGTCGGAAATTGGATCACCGTTTTTTCCCCTAATGATGGTAATAGGTGTGGCGCTGCAGGTTACTTTTTTGATGGAGTTAAATAGAGATTTGTGATCACGGGCCACTGAGGCAGACTCCATCTCCTCAGCAACCCGCGACCACCACCCATCCTTGCAGCGCCTCACGGCTCTCCGAACCTCCGAGCGAAGGCTGCGGTAAGCCTCCTCATTCTCTGACGTGGGATTCTGTAGCCGATGACAGTGGGCCTGTCGCTTTTTCTCAACCATCGTGAACAACTCCTCTGTCATCCAGGGTGTCTGGGGAGGTCTGGACCGCGTACCCAAAGCAGCCATTGCAGCTGCATGAGTCACAGTCCTAAACCTCGCCCATTTACCCTCGACATCAGGAGGAGTCGGGGACGATGCCAATCCCAGCCGCAAGCGATGATGAAATTCTCGCTTGCAACTTTCATCAGATAACTGAGACCAGGCCACTTTAGGTTGGAATGGGGTCCTGGGTGTACACCCACCACCGGAGTGGAAGAATGGCAGGCGCATCTTACAGATGACTAGTCGATGGTCAGAGGGCAGATCAGCTCCACGGTAGGTCCTGGTGTCAAGGACATGGGCTCGCATTCGCTGGTCCGTCACTATGTAGTCCAGCAGATGTTCTTGCTTGGACCCGGCATGCATCCATGATGTTGTGTGGATGCGCCGATGCCGGAACAGCGTGTTGGTAATTACAAGCCCATGGGCTGCACAAAAATCTAGCAGCCTCCTACCGTTGTTATTGAGCTGATCTGGCCCATGCCCTCCAATCACTCCAGACCAGGTGCCAGTATCATGACCAACTCGGGCATTGAAGTCACCCAACATGATGACTCTATCCCGAGGGGCCACTTTCGCCAGCACCTGTGACAGGAGGTCATAGAAGGCATCTGACTCATCGGCTTTGCCTGCATCCCTCCACGGATGTTCATCTTCGGTGGGGGCATAAGTAACCACGACCACCATTCCTCGCCTCCGGTTGATGGGAAGGCGAGCCCAAAGTAGCCTGGGGCTTACAGCTTCCCACACCTCACCGCCACGCTCCCACGCCCCCTTCATTCTTTTGTTCAAAAGAAGACCCACACCCTGGTGTTTGGCAGTCTGCTGCCCCGAGTAGAGGACTGTCCACCCCTCATGGTGGCAGGAGCCAGAGCCGGTCCACCGGACCTCCTGAATGCCGCATAGATCCAGGCGGTACCGGTCCAGCTCCCGACAGAGGAGTGGCAGCCTCTCCTCTGCAGTGAGCGTTCGAACATTCCACGTGGCCAGCCGTAGTGGCTTTTCGTTGTTTCTGGAGTAGCCCCGAGGGTAGGTATTCAATCTCCTGGCTCCGCCAATTGGGGTTTGGCCAGGAGACGTCATAGACGCTTGGCCCCCCGGGGCCTCCGGCACAAGCTTAGTTGTTACATATTTCAGTTTAATTCGTAGTTTCGTGGTAATTAATTGAAGGTGGAGGTGTTACCAGCCCCTCGCACCCGTCCAGAGCCCCCGTTTAGCCCCTGTGGTGGACACATATGCCATGAGGGGAGGAGCCAATCAAAATTGGATCTCCCCCCACAGCGCCTTCCACGACAGAGTTGCCCGTCCGGCACCGCGAGGAGGTAGGGGGTTGAGTGGCAGCCTCTCCGCCGCATACAAACCCAACCACTCACCCACTCACCCACCCACTCACCCACTCACCCACCCACTCACCCACTCACCCACTCACCCACTCACCCATTCACCCACCCACTCACCCATTCACCCACACACTCACCCATTCACCCACACACTCACCCATTCTCCCACCCACTCACCCATTCACCCACCCACACACCCATTCTCCCACACACTCACCCATTCTCCCACCCACACACCCATTCACCCACACACTCACCCATTCACCCACACACTCACCCATTCACCCACACACTCACCCATTCTCCCACACACTCAGCAATTCACCCACACACTCACCCATTCTCCCACCCACTCACCCATTCACCCACACACTCATGCACCCACTTACCCATTTACCCACTCACCCATTCACCCACACACTCACGCACCCACTCACCCATTCACCCACCCACTTACCCATTCACCCACTCACCCATTCACCCACACACTCACGCACCTACTTAACCATTCACCCACCCACTTACCCATTCACCCACACACCCACGCACCCACTTACCCATTCACCCACTCACCCACACACTCACCCATTCTCCCACCCACTTACCCATTCACCCACACACTAACGCACCCACTCACCCACTCACGCACTCACCCACACATTCACCCTTTCACCCACACACTCACGCACACACTCACACATTCTCCCACCCACTCACCCATTCACCCACACATTCACGCACCCACTTACCCATTCACCCACCAACTCACCCATTCACCCACCAACTCACCCATTCTCCCACCCACTAGCCATTCACCCACCCACTCACCCATTCACCCACTCACTCACCCCTTCACCCACCAACTCACCCATTCACCCTCCCACTCACCCATTCACCCACTCACCCACCCATTCTCCCACCCACTCACCCATTCTCCCACCCACTCACCCATTCTCCCACCCACCCACCCACTCACAATTCCACCCACCCACCCACCCTTCCACCCACCCACCCTTCCACCCACCCACCCAGTGGTTCACAGTGCCCGTGTGTCTCCCCCCACCTCCCTCACCCCCACGACAGTGGAGCGCCTCTCCCGCCTACGCCACCATCAGGAGCAGGGTCTCGAGTCCATGAACCGCGTGCAGAGTTACTTCCGCATCCCCTTCGTGGTGAAGGGGTCTGCCCTGGGCCCCTCATCGGGGGGGGCGGCGCAAGGGGGGGGGACCCCGCGGGGCTGGTGGCTGGCACACTATGACGGCAGCTGGCTGGCACGCCAGCTCGAGCTGCACCCTGGCAAGCAGCCGGTGTTGCTAGTAGCAGGTGGGTGTCTATGTGTGTGTGTCTATGTGTGTGTGTCTATGTGTGTGTGTCTCTGTGTGTGTCTATGTGTGTGTGTCTATGTGTGTGTCTGTGTGTCTCTGTGTGTCTATGTGTCTGTGTGTCTATGTGTGTGTCTATGTGTCTATGTGTGTGTGTGTGTGTCTATGTGTGTGTGTCTGTGTGTGTGTGTCTGTGTGTGTGTATGTGTGTGTCTCTGTGTGTGTCTGTGTGTGTCTATGTGTGTGTGTCTCTGTGTGTGTGTCTGTGTGGGTCTCTGTGTCTCTGTGGGTCTCTGTGTGTCTCTGTGGGTCTCTGTGTGTCTGTGTGTCTATGTGTGTGTCTCTGTGTATCTCTGTGTGTTGCTAGTAGCAGGTGGGTCTCTGTGTGTGTCTGTGTGTCTCTGTGTGTCTCTGTGTGTGTCTGTGTGTCTGTGTGTGTCTATGGGTCTCTGTGTGTCTCTGTGTGTGTCTGTGTGTTGCTAGTAGCAGGTGGGTCTCTGTGTGTCTGTGTGTGTCTGTGTGTCTGTGTGTGTGTCTGTGTGTCTCTGTGTGTGTCTCTGTGTGTGTCTGTGTGTGTGTCTGTGTGTGTCTGTGTATCTCTGTGTGTCTGTGTGTCTCTGTGTGTCTGTGTGTTGCTAGTAACAGGTGGGTCGCTGTGTGTCTGTGTGTGTCTCTGTGTGTCTCTGTGTGTGTCTGTGTGTGTCTCTGTGTGTGTCTCTATGTGTGTGTCTGTGTGTGTCTGTGTGTTGCTAGTGGCAGGTGGGTGTCTGTGTGTCTCTGTGTGTGTGTCTGTGTGTGTCTCTGTGTGTGTCTGTGTATCTTTGTGTGTCTGTGTTTCTCTGTGTGTGTCTGTGTGTTGCTAGTAACAGGTGGGTCGCTGTGTGTCTGTGTGTGTCTGTGTGTGTCTCTGTGTGTGTCTGTGTGTGTCTGTGTGTCTCTGTGTGTGTCTATGTGTGTGTCTGTGTGTGTCTGTGTGTTGCTAGTGGCAGGTGGGTCTCTGTGTGTCTCTGTGTGTGTCTGTGTGTGTCTCTGTGTGTCTGTGTGTCTCTGTGTGTGTCTGTGTGTCTCTGTGAGTTTCTGTGTGTGTCTCTGTGTGTGTCTGTGTGTTGCTAGTGGCAGGTGGGTCTCTGTGTGTCTCTGTGTGTGTCTGCGTGTTTCTGTGTGTCTCTGTGTGTCTCTGAGTGTGTCTTTGTGTCTCTGTGTGTCTCTGTGGGTCTCTGTGGGTCTCTGTGGGTCTGTGTGTCTCTGTGTGTCTCTGTGGGTCTCTGTGGGTCGCTGTGTGTCTCTGTCAGGGTCTCTGTGTGTCTCTGTGGGTGTCTGTGTGTCTCTGTGTGTCTCTTTGTGTCTCTGTAGGTCTGTGTGTCTCTGTGTGTCTGTGTGTCTCTGTGTGTCTCTGTGTGTCTCTGTGGGTCTCTGTATTTCTCTGTGTGTCTCTGTGGGTCTCTGTGTGTCTCTGTCAGGGTCTCTGTGTCTCTGTGGGTGTCTGTGTGTCTCTGTGTGTCTCTGTGGGTCTGTGTGTCTCTGTGTGTCTGTGTGTCTCTGTGTTTGTCTATGTGTGTCTGTGTGGGTCTCTGTGTGTGTCTCTGTGTGTTGCTAGTATCAGGTGGGTCTCTGTGTGTGTCTGTGTGTCTCTGTGTGTGTCTCTGTGTGTCTGTGGGTGTCTCTGTGGGTCTCTGTGTGTCTCTCTGTGTGTCTCTGTGTGTGTCTGTGTGTTTGTCTGTGTGTGTCTGTGTGCCTCTGTGGGTTTCTGTGTGTCTCTGTGTGTCTCTGTGGGTCTCTGTGGGTCTCTGTGTGTGTCTGTGTGTCTCTGTGAGTTTCTGTGTGTCTCTGTGTGTGTCTGTGTGTTGCTAGTGGCATGTGTGTGTCTGTGTGTCTCTGTGTGTCTCTGTGGGTCTCTGTGGGTCTCTGTGTGTCTCTGTCAGGGTCTCTCTGTGTCTCTGTGGGTGTCTGTGTGTCTCTGTGTGTCTCTGTGTGTCTCTGTGGGTCTGTGTGTCTCTGTGTGTCTGTGTGTCTCTGTGTGTCTCTGTGTGTCTCTGTGGGTCTCTGTGTTTCTCTGTGTGTCTCTGTGGGTCTCTGTGTGTCTTTGTCAGGGTCTCTGTGTGTCTCTGTGGGTGTCTGTGTGTCTCTGTGTGTCTCTGTGGGTCTGTGTGTCTCTGTGTGTCTGTGTGTCTCTGTGTTTGTCTATGTGTGTCTCTGTGGGTCTCTGTGTTTCTCTGTGTGTCTCTGTGGGTCTCTGTGTGTCTCTGTCAGGGTCTCTGTGTGTCTCTGTGGGTGTCTGTGTGTCTCTGTGGGTCTGTGTGTCTCTGTGTGTCTGTGTGTCTCTGTGTTTGTCTATGTGTGTCTGTGTGGGTCTCTGTGTGTGTCTCTGTGTGTTGCTAGTATCAGGTGGGTCTCTGTGTGTGTCTGTGTGTCTCTGTGTGTGTCTCTGTGTGTCTGTGGGTGTCTCTGTGGGTCTCTGTGTGTCTCTCTGTGTGTCTCTGTGTGTGTCTGTGTGTTTGTCTGTGTGTGTCTGTGTGCCTCTGTGGGTTTCTGTGTGTCTCTGTGTGTCTCTGTGGGTCTCTGTGGGTCTCTGTGTGTGTCTGTGTGTCTCTGTGAGTTTCTGTGTGTCTCTGTGTGTGTCTGTGTGTTGCTAGTGGCATGTGTGTGTCTGTGTGTCTCTGTGTGTCTCTGTGGGTCTTTGTGGGTCTCTGTGTGTCTCTGTCAGGGTCTCTGTGTGTCTCTGTGGGTGTCTGTGTGTCTCTGTGTGTCTCTGTGTGTCTCTGTGGGTCTGTGTGTCTCTGTGTGTCTGTGTGTCTCTGTGTGTCTCTGTGTGTCTCTGTGGGTCTCTGTGTTTCTCTGTGTGTCTCTGTGGGTCTCTGTGTGTCTCTGTCAGGGTCTCTGTGTGTCTCTGTGGGTGTCTATGTGTCTCTGTGTGTCTCTGTGGGTCTCTGTGTGTCTCTCTGTGTGTGTTTGTGTGTTTGTCTGTGTGTCTCTGTGTGTCTCTGTGGGTCTCTGTGGGTCTCTGTGTGTGTCTGTGTGTCTCTGTGTGTCTCTGTGTGTGTGTGAGTCTCTGTGAGTCTCTGTGTGTTTCTGTGTGTCTCTGTATGTGTCTGTGTGTCTCTGTGTGTCTGTCTCTGTGTCTCTCCGTGTGTCTCTGTGTGTCTCTGTGTGTCTCTGTGTGTTGCTAGTAGCAGGTGGGTCTCTGTGTGTGTCTGTGTGTCTCTGTGTGTCTCTGTGTGTCTCTGTGTGTGTGTCTGTGTGTCTCTGTGGGTGTCTGTGTGTGTCTGTGTGTCTCTGTGTGTGTCTATGGGTCTCTGTGTCTCTGTGAGTCTCTATGTGTCTCTGTATGTCTCTGTGTGTCTCTGTGTGTCTGTGTGTGTGTGTGAGTCTCTGTGAGTCTCTATGTGTCTCTGTGTGTGTCTGTTTGTGTCTCTGTGGGTCTCTGTGTGTCTCTGTGTGTGTCTCTGTGGGTCTCTGTGTGTCTCTGTGTGTGTGTGTGTCTCTGTGGGTCTGTGTGTCTCTGTGTGTCTGTGTGTCTCTGTGTGTGTCTCTGTGGGTCTCTGTGTGACTCTGTGTGTGTCTGTGTGCCTCTGTGTGTGTCTCTGTGTGTCTCTGTGGGTCTGCCTGTGTCTCTGTGTGTTTAAGTGTGTTTCTGTGTGTCTCTGTGTGTGTCTGCGTGTCTCTGTGTGTGTCTGTATGTCTCTGTGGGTCTCTGTATGTCTCTGTGTCTCTGTGGGTCTCTGTGTGTCTCTGTGTGTCTATGTGGGTCTATGTGGGTCTCTGTGTGTCTCTGTGGGTCTCTATGGGTCTCTGTGTGTCTCTGTGTGTTTCTTTATGTCTCTGTGGGTCTCTGTGTGTCTCTGTATGTCTCTGTATGTCTCTGTGGGTCTCTTTGTGTCTCTGTGTGTCTCTGTGGGTCTCTGTGTGTCTCTGTGGGTCTCTGTATGTCTCTGTGGGTCTCTGTATGTCTCTGTGAGTCCCTCTGTGTCTCTGTGGGTCTCTGTGTGTCTCTGTGGGTCTCTGTGTGTCTCTGTGGGTCTCTGTATGTCTATGTGGGTCTCTGTGGGTCTCTGTGTGTCTCTGTGGGTTTGTGTGTGTCTCTGTGGGTCTCTGTGTGTCTCTGTGAGTCTCTGTGTTTCTCTGTGGGTCTCTGTGTGTCTCTGTGGGTGTCTGTGTATCTCTGTGGGTCTGTGGGTCTCTGTGTGTCACTGTGGGTCTCTGTGTGTCTCTGTGTGTCTTTGTGTGTCTATGTGGGTCTATGTGGGTCTCTGTGTGTCTCTGTGGGTCTCTGTGGGTCTCTGTGTGTCTCTGTGTGTTTCGTTATGTCTCTGTGGGTCTCTGTGTGTCTCTGTATGTCTCTGTATGTCTCTGTGGGTCTCTTTGTGTCTCTGTGTGTCTCTATGGGTCTCTGTGTGTCTCTGTGGGTCTCTGTATGTCTCTGTGGATCTCTGTATGTCTCTGTGATTCTCTCTGTGTCTCTGTGGGTCTCCGTGTGTCTCTGTGGGTCTCTGTGTGTCTCTGTGGGTCTCTGTATGTCTATGTGGGTCTCTGTGGGTCTCTGTGTGTCTCTGTGGGTTTGTGTGTGTCTCTGTGGGTCTCTGTGTGTCTCTGTGAGTCTCTGTGTTTCTCTGTGGGTCTCTGTGTGTCTCTGTGGGTGTCTGTGTATATCTGTGGGTCTGTGGGTCTCTGTGTGTCTCTGTGTGTCTCTGTGGGTCTTTGTGTGTTTCCTTATGTCTCCGTGGGTCTCTGTGTGTCTCTATGTGTCTCTGTGGGTCTCTGTGCGTCTCTGTGGGTCTCTGTATGTCTCTGTGTGTCTCTGTGTCTGTGTGGGTCTCTGTGTGTCTCTGTGTGTCTTTGTGGATATCTGTGTGTCTCTGTGTGTCTCTGTGGGTCTCTGTGTGTCTCTGTCGGTCTCTGTGGGTCTCTGTGTGTCTCTGTGTGTCTCTGTGTGTCTCTGTGGCTCTCTGCTGGTCTCTGTGGGTCTCTGTGTGTCTCTGTGGGTCTCTGTGTGTCTCTGTGTGTCTCTGTGTATCTCTGTGGGTCTCTGTGTGTCTCTGTGGGTGTCTGTGGGTCTCTGTGGGTCTCTGTGTGTCTCTGTGTGTGTGTGTCTGTGCGACAGTTGTGGAGAGAGTGGAGAGTTTCCCATACCTGGGCTGTGTGCTTATGACGGGCTCCAGTTTAGCAGCAGAGGTCTCACTCCGAATCAGTCGAGCGGCAGCAATATCTTTTCATCGGTTGCGTAACGCTGTGTGGAAGCTACCTGGTCTGTCGCTCCGCACTAAGCTTCAGGTCTTCTCGGCCACGGTCATTCCCTCCCTTCTCTACGCTTGCGAAACGTGGACCCCCCGAATGGAACATCTTCGCCGGTTAGAAACATTTAGGCTGGCCTGCCTACGATCCATCCTGGGTTTAACCAGACTGGATTGTGTGAGGAGCTCACAAATCCTTGAAAGATCTGGGCAAGGTTCCATCGGTGAGCTCCTCCGGCGGGCAAGGCTGCGATGGCTGGGTCATGTTGCCCGCATGCCCAGCCACCGCATGCCGAAACAGCTTGTGTTCGGCCGGATCGAGGGGGTTAAACGGGCGCGGCACGGGCTAGAGAAGAGATGGAGTAATGTGGTACAAGAGGACGTGGAGCTGAGTGGACTTGCCGATGACTGGTACCAGCGGTGTCAAGATCGGCCTCTGTGGAGGAGGCTCGTGAAGGACGCTACTGGGCAGTTGGAGGTAGTCGCCCTCCAACAACAACGGAGGGCGGAGGAGCGAGGCTCAGAAGAACGAGCGGAGCGCCGGGTGGCTAAAGCACAGCAGGTTGGCACAGTAGGGGGCACAGGTGGTGCATCAGCCAGTCATCTCAGTCAGTCGACCCGTGGCACCTGGGTCTGCCCTGTGACCTCCTGCCAGCGGGCGTTCGACACTTCACGTGGCCTCAGGGTGCACATAGCCTGGCACAAGCGTCGTGGTGACGTCACCGCCACTTAGTGGTGAATGGTGGTTGTTGTTGTTGTGTGACTCTTTGTGTGTATATCTGTGTGTGTCTCTATGTGTGTGTCTGTGTGTCTCTGTGGGTTTGTGTGTGTCTCTGTGTGTCTATGTGGGTCTCTGTGTGTCTCTGTGTGTCTCTGTGAGTCTTTGTTTGTTTCTTTATGTCTCTGTGGGTCTCTGTGTGTCTCTATGTGTCTCTGTGGGTCTCTGTGGTTCTCTGTATGTCTCTGTGTGTCTCTGTGGGTCTCTGTGTGTCTCTGTGAGTCTCTGTGTGTCTCTGTGGGTCTCTGTGTGTCTCTGTGTGTCTCTGTGGGTCTCTGTGTGTCTTTGTCGGTCTCTGTGGGTCTCTGTGTGTCTTTGTCGGTCTCTGTGTGTCTCTGTGTGTCTCTGTGGGTGTCTGATGGTCTCTGCTGGTTTCTGTGGGTCTGTGTGGGTCTCTGTGTGTCTCTGTGGGTCTCTATGTGTCTCTGTGTGTCTCTGTGTATCTCTGTGGGTCTCTGTGTGTCTTTGTGGGTGTCTGTGGGTCTCTGTGGGTCTCTGTGTGTCTCTGTGTGTGTGTGTGTGTGTCTGTGCGACAGTTGTGGAGAGAGTGGAGAGTTTCCCATACCTGGGCAGTGTGCTTATGACGGGCTCCAGTTTAGCAGCAGAGGTCTCACTCCGAATCAGTCGAGCGGCGGCAATATCTTTTCATCGGTTGCGTAACGCTGTGTGGAAGCTACCTGGTCTGTCGCTCCGCACTAAGCTTCAGGTCTTCTCGGCCACGGTCATTCCCTCCCTTCTCTACGCTTGCGAAACGTGGACCCCCCGAATGGAACATCTTCGCCGGTTAGAAACATTTAGGCTGGACTGCCTACGATCCATCCTGGGTTTAACCAGACTGGATTGTGTGAGGAGCTCACAAATCCTTGAAAGATCTGGGCAGGGTCCCATCGGTGAGCTCCTCCGGCAGGCAAGGCTGCGATGGCTGGGTCATGTAGCCCGCATGCCCAGCCACCGCATGCCGAAACAGCTTTTGTTTGGCCGGATTGAGGGGGCTAAGCGGGCGCGGCACGGGCTAGAGAAGAGATGGAGTGATGTGGTACAGGAGGACGTGGAGCTGAGTGGACTTGCCGATGACTGGTACCAGCGGTGTCAAGATCGACCTCTGTCGAGGATGCTACTGGGCAGTTGGAGGTAGTCGCCCTCCAACAACAACGGAGGGCGGAGGAGCGACGCTCACAACAACGAGCGGAGCGCCGGGTGGCTAAAGCACAGCAGGTTGGCACAGTAGGGGGCACAGGTGGTGCATCAGCCAGTCATCACAGTCAGTCGACCCGTGGCACCTGGGTCTGCCCCGTGACCTCCTGCCAGCGGGCGTTCGACACTTCACGTGGCCTCAGGGTGCACATAGCCTGGCACAAGCGTCGTGGTGACGTCACCGCCACTTAGTGTGTGTATCTGTGTGTCTGTGTGTATGTGTGTGACTGTGTGTGTGTGTATATCTGTGTGTATGTATATCTGTGTGTGTGTGACTGTGTATGTGTGAGTGTATCTGTGTGTCTGTGTGTATATCTGTATGTGTGTGTGTGTATGTGTGTGTGTGTGACTGTGTGTATGTGACTGTGTGTATGTGTGTGACTGTGTGTGTGTATGTGTGTGTGTGACTCTGTGTATGTGTGTGTGTATCTGTGTGTCTCTGTGTGTGTGTGTGTCTGTGTGTATGTGTGTGTCTGTGTGTATGTGTGTGTGTGTGTCTGTGTGTATGTGTGTGTGTGTGACTGTGTGTATGTGTGTGACTGTGTGTGTGTGTATGTGTGTGTGACTCTGTGTATGTGTGTGTGTGTGTATGTGTGTGACTCTATGTGTATCTGTGTGTCTCTGTGTGTGTGTGTCTGTGTGTATGTGTGTGTATGTGTGTGTATGTGTGTGTGTGTATGTGTGTGACTCTATGTGTATGTGTGTGACTGTGTGTGTGTGTATGTGTGTGACTGTGTGTGTGTGTGACTCTGTGTATGTATGTGTGTGACTGTGTGTCTGTGTGTATGTGTGTGACTGTGTGTGTGACTGTGTGTGTGACTCTGTGTGTGTGTGACTGTGTGTGTGTGACTCTGTGTATGTGTGTGTGTGACTGTGTGTGTGTGTATGTGTGTCTGTGTGTGTGTGTGACTCTGTGTATGTGTGTGACTGTGTGTGTATGTGTGTGTGTGTGACTCTGTGTATGTGTGTATGTGTGTGACTCTGTGTGTGTGTGACTGTGTGTGTGTGACTCTGTGTATGTGTGTGTGTGACTGTGTGTGTGTGTATGTGTGTCTGTGTGTGTGTGTGTGTGACTCTGTGTATGTGTGTGACTGTGTGTGTGTGTGTATGTGTGTGACTGTGTGTGTGTGTGTGACTGTGTGTGTGTGTGTGACTCTGTGTATGTGTGTGACTCTGTGTATGTGTGTGTGTGACTGTGTGTGTGTGTATGTGTGTCTGTGTGTGTGTGACTCTGTGTATGTGTGTGTGTATCTGTGTGTCTCTGTGTGTGTGTGTCTGTGTGTATGTGTGTGTATGTGTGTGTATGTGTGTGTGTGTATGTGTGTGACTCTATGTGTATGTGTGTGACTGTGTGTGTGTGTGTGACTCTGTGTATGTGTGTGTGTGACTGTGTGTGTGTGTATGTGTGTCTGTGTGTGTGTGACTCTGTGTATGTGTGTGTGTGTCTGTGTGTATGTGTGTGACTGTGTGTGTATGTGTGTGTGTGACTCTGTGTATGTGTGTGTGTGACTGTGTGTATGTGTGTGTGACTGTGTGTGACTGTGTGTATGTGTGTGACTGTGTGTGTGTGTATGTGTGTGACTGTGTGTGTGTGTGTGACTCTATGTGTATGTGTGTGACTGTGTGTGTGTGTGTGACTCTGTGTATGTGTGTGTGTGACTGTGTGTCTGTGTGTATGTGTGTGACTGTGTGTGTATGTGTGTGTGTGTGACTCTGTGTATGTGTGTATGTGTGTGACTCTGTGTGTGTGTGACTGTGTGTGTGTGACTCTGTGTATGTGTGTGTATCTGTGTGTGTGTGACTGTGTGTGACTTTGTGTATGTGTGTGACTGTGTGTGTGTGTCCAGGCCAAGACGACGAGAGGATGTGTGAGCTGCGTCTGGAGGAGACTGGCCTCCTGCGTCGCCGCGGGGCCCAGATCCTGGCCCGTCGCTTCGAGGAGACCTGGGAGCTGAGTGGAGGAGCGGCCTACCTCCGCTGGGCTGTGTTGGCCGGCCGGGCCAGGCCCACGGCCGCCACGGCCAGGGTCCAGCTCCTAGCGGGGCCCTCGGGGGCTCCTTAGGGGGGCCCTGGGGGGTCCTTAGGGGGGGCTCTAGGGGGTCCTTAGGGGGGGTTCTAGGGGGCTGCTTAGGGTGGCCCTAGGGGGGTCCTTAGGGGGGGCTCTAGGGGGATCCTTAGGGGGGCCCTAGGGGGGTCCTTAGGGGGGGCTCTAGGGGGCTCCTTAGGGGGGCCCTGGGGGGTCCTTAGGGGGGGTTCTAGGGGCTCCTTAGGGTGGCCCTAGGGGGGTCCTTAGGGGGGGCTCTAGGGGGGTCCTTAGGGGGGGCTCTAGGGGGATCCTTAGGGGGGCCCTAGGGGGGTCCTTAGGGGGGGCTCTAGGGGGGTCCTTAGGGGGGCCCTAGGGGGGTCCTTAGGGGGGCCCTAGAGGGGGCCCTAGGGGGGTCCTTAGGGGGGCCCTAGAGGGGGTCCTTAGGCGGGCCCTGGGGGGGTCCTTAGGGGGGCCCTAGGGGGTCCTTAGGGGGGCCCTAGGGGGGTCCTTAGGGGGGCCCTAGGGGGGTCCTTAGGGGGGCCCTAGAGGGGGGAGAGAGGGGAGAGGGGGGAGAGTGAGTATGAGTGAGAGTGAGAGAGTGAGTGTGTGAGTGAGGGTGAGTGAGGGTGAGTGAGTGAGTGTGAGTGAGTGAGAGTGAGTGAGTGAGTGTGAGTGAGTGAGGGTGAGTGAGTGAGTGTGAGTGAGTGAGAGTGAGTGAGTGTGAGTGAGTGAGGGTGAGTGAGGGTGAGTGAGTGTGAGTGAGGGTGAGTGAGTGAGTGTGAGTGAGTGTGAGTGAGTGAGTGTGAGTGAGTGAGTGTGAGTGAGTGAGGGTGAGTGAGTGAGAGTGAGTGAGTGAGTGTGAGTGAGTGAGGGTGAGTGAGGGTGAGTGAGTGAGAGTGCGTGAGTGAGTGTGAATGAGTGAGTGAGTGTGAGTGAGTGTGAGTGAGTGAGTGTGAGTGAGTGAGTGAGGGTGAGTGAGGGTGAGTGAGTGAGTGTGAGTGAGTGAGTGTGAGTGAGTGAGTAAGTGTGAGTGAGTGAGTGTGAGTGAGTGAGAGTGAGTGAGTGTGAGTGAGTGAGTGTGAGTGAGTGAGTGTGAGTGAGTGAGTGTGAGTGAGTGTGAGTGAGTGTGAGTGAGGGTGAGTGAGTGTGAGTGAGTGAGGGTGACTGAGTGAGTGAGGGTGAGTGAGGGTGAGTGAGTGAGGGTGAGTGAGTGAGTGTGAGTGAGGGTGAGTGAGTGAGTGTGAGTGAGTGAGTGAGGGTGAGTGAGGGTGAGTGAGTGTGAGTGAGTGTGAGTGAGTGAGTGAGAGTGAGTGAGTGAGTGTGAGTGAGTGAGGGTGAGTGAGTGTGAGTGAGTGTGAGTGAGTGAGTGTGAGTGAGTGAGTGTGAGTGAGTGAGAGTGAGTGAGTGAGTGTGAGTGAGTGAGTGAGGGTGAGTGAGGGTGAGTGAGTGAGTGTGAGTGAGTGTGAGTGAGTGAGTGTGAGTGTGAGTGAGTGAGTGAGTGTGAGTGAGTGTGAGTGAGTGAGAGTGAGTGAGTGAGTGAGTGTGAGTGAGTGAGAATGAGTGAGTGAGAGTGAATGAATGAGTGAGTGTGAGTGAGTGAGGGTGAGTGTGAGAGTGAGTTTGAGTGAGGGTGAGTGAGTGAGTGAGGGTGAGTGAGTGAGTGTGAGTGAGTGTGAGTGAGTGAGTGAGAGTGAGTGTGAGTGAGTGAGTGTGAGTGAGTGAGTGAATGAGTGAGTGTGAGTGAGTGAGTGAGAGTGAGTGTTAGTGAGGGTGAGTGAATGAGTGAGTGTGAGTGTAAGTGAGTGAGTGAGTGTGAGTGAGTGAGAGTGAGTGAGTGAGTGAGAGTGAGTGAGTGTAAGTGAGTGAGTGAGTGTGAGTGAGTGAGTGAGAGTGAGTGAGTGTAAGTGAGTGAGTGAGTGTGAGTGAGTGAGTGAGTGAGAGTGAGTGAGTGAATGAGTGAGTGAATGAGTGAGTGTGAGTGAGTGAGTGTTAGTGAGGGTGAGTGAATGAGTGAGTGTGAGTGTAAGTGAATGAGTGAGTGAGAGTGAGTGAGTGAGAGTGAGTGAGTGTAAGTGAGTGAGTGAGTGTGAGTGAGTGAGTGAGAGTGAGTGAGTGTAAGTGAGTGAGTGAGTGTGAGTGAGTGAGTGAGAGTGAGTGAGTGAGAGAGTGAGTGAGGGTGAGTGAGTGTGAGAGTGAATGTGAGTGAGTGTGAGTGAGTGTGAGAGTGAGTGAGTGAGGGTGAGTGATGGTGAGTGAATGAGTGAGTGAGAGTGAGTGTAAGTGAGTGAGTGTGAGTGAGTGTGAGTGAGTGTGAGTGAGTGAGTGTGAGTGAGTGAGTGAATGAGTGAGTGAGTGAATGAATGAGTGTGAGTGAGTGAGAGTGAGTGTTAGTGAGGGTGAGTGAATGAGTGAGTGTGAGTGTAAGTGAGTGAGTGAGTGTGAGTGAGGGTGAGTGAATGAGTGAGTGAGTGAATGAGTGAGTGAGAGTGAGTGAATGAGTGAGAGTGAGTGTGAGTGAGTGAGTGTGAGTGAGTGTTAGTGAGGGTGAGTGAATGAGTGAGTGAGTGTGAGTGTAAGTGAGTGAGTGAGAGTGAGTGTGAGTGAGGGTGAGTGAATGAGTGAGTGTAAGTGAGTGAGTGAGAGTGAGTGTGAGTGAGGGTGAGTGAGTGAGTGAGTGTGAGTGAGGGTGAGTGAGTGAGGGTGAGTGAGTGAATGAGTGAGTGAGAGTGAGTGAGTGAATGAGTGAGTGAGAGTGAGGGTGAGTGAGTGAGGGTGAGTGATGGTGGACTAGGAAGGATCTCACGGGCTCAGGATTTGGGTTCTGGTAGTGAGTTTGTGTTTGGTTTGACATTTCACTTCAATAACTCAAGCACAGGCGATCATTGCAACGATGATGATGATGATCAACATTGCAATGATTGTGTCGATGATGTTAATGATGATTATAATGGTTGTCGTGATGATCATTGTAATGATGATGATGATCAACATTGCAATGATCGTGTCGATGATGTTAATGATGATTATAATGGTTGTCGTGATGATCATTGTAATGATGATGATGATGATCAATATTGCAATGATCGTGTCGATGATGTTAATGATGATTATAATGGTTGTCGTGATGATCATTGTAATGATGATCAATATTGCAATGATCGTGTCGATGATGTTAATGATGATTATAATGGTTGTCTTGATGATTGTAATTGTGGGTGGTGGCGTTGATGATGACGATGTTGGTGATATCTGTTCACGTGCTGACGACATTATTAAAGGGGCTCTTCCTCCGAGCGTGAGACGCGTGGCTCACCATAGGCCTGGGGGCACCCCCAGTGGCAGATGCAGCGCGTGATGACATTGCCTTGCTGTTGTTGTTGTTGTTGTTCTTGTTGTTGTTGTTGTGACCACTTTGTCAGGGGCCACTAGAGGCTGCTTCACGAGCTACTTTCTCAGGAAAGCGACGCGATTGATAAGTGAGGGACATCATCGCTGGTGGACGTTCAGAGCAGCAGGCCCAAATAACGAATGGTGACGTTGATTCCACAATGTGCATGGGATAAAAAACCCAAATATACAGCAGCAGCAGCAGGCATCGTCATCACGACCTCCTGTGTACCAGGCGAGGTAGTCAACATCTCATAGCCACCCTGATGATGATGAGAGAGAGACGCAGACTCCACATAGACCTCCTGTAGACCAGGCGACGTAGTCAACATCTCATAGCCACCGTGATGATGATGAGACACACAGACTCCACATAGACCTCCTGTGTACCAGGCGAGGTAGTCAACATCTCATTGCCACTGTGATGATGAGAGACGCACAGACTCCACATAGACCTCCTGTATACCAGGCGAGGTAGTCAACATCTCATAGCCACCGTGATGATGATGAGAGAGACACAGACTCCACATAGACCTCCTGTGTACCAGGCGAGGTAGTCAACATCTCATAGCCACCGTGATGATGATGATGATGATGAGAGAGAGACGCAGACTCCAGATAGACCTCCTGTATACCAGGCGAGGTAGTCAACATCTCATAGCCACCGTGATGATGATGAGACACACAGACTCCACATAGACCTCCTGTGTACCAGGCGAGGTAGTCAACATCTCATAGCCACCGTGATGATGATGAGAGAGACACAGACTCCACATAGACCTCCTGTGTACCAGGCGAGGTAGTCAACATCTCATAGCCACCGTGATGATGATGATGATGAGAGAGACGCAGACTCCACATAGACCTCCTGTAGACCAAGCGAGGTAGTCAACATTTCATAGCCACAGTGATGATGATGAGGGAGAGACGCAGACTCCACATAGACCTCATGTAGACCAGGCGAGCTAGTCAACATCTCATAGACACCTTGATGATGATGATGAGAGAGACGCAGACTCCACATAGACCTCCTGTGTACCAGTCAAGGTAGTCAACATCTCATAGCCACCGTGATGATGATGATGATGAGAGAGACACAGACTCAACATAGACCTCCTGTGTACCTGGCGAGGTAGTCAACATCTCATAGCCACCGTGATGATGATGATGATGAGACACACAGACTCCACATAGACCTCCTGTGTACCTGGCGAAGTAGTCAACATCTCATAGCCACCGTGATGATGATGATGAGAGATACACAGACTCCACATAGACCTTCTGTGTACCAGGCGAGGTAGTCAACATCTCATAGCCACAGTGATGATGATGAGAGAGAGACACAGACTCCACATAGACCTCCTGTACACCAGGCGAGCTAGTCAACATCTCATAGACACCGTGATGATGATAAGAGAGACACAGACTCCACATAGACCTCCTGTGTACCAGGCGAGGTAGTCAACATCTCATATCCACCGTGATGATGATGATAAGAGAGACACAGACTCCACATAGACCTCCTGTAGACCAGGCGAGGTAGTCAACATCGCACAGACACCGTGATGATGATGATTATGAGAGACACAGACTCCACATAGACCTCCTCTACACCAGGCGAGGTAGTCAACATCTCATAGCCACCGTGA